GCGGGCCCGAGGAGAGGCCGGGGCCCTCCCAAGGCCGCGACCTGGTGCCCGGGAAGGTCATTGTGGGGCCTTGTCGTGATCTTTCTGAACAAGGGCCCGGGCCGTGAAGCAGCCCCGGTGGGAAGGAGCCTCTGGAGGTGACCTGGTCCCTCCCTGGGAGGAGGCGGGTCCGGGGAGCTGCTGCTCAGCGCGGGGCGTTCAGGCCTCCGCTCAGGGTGTCGGGTTTTTGGTCGTGGGTTTGTGGGTTTTTTTTGAAATAAGGAGCTTAATGGAAGCTTTCTCGTTATTCATAGCGTACTGCACACTACAAGACCGCTGCACGCAACTCAGCAGCGTTCGGCTCCTTTGCCACCGCTGCCTGAGAAAGGAGGCGAAGTACGTTATGGGTTGATCCCTGAGGAGTTTTTCCAGTTTCTCTACCCTAAAACAGGAGTTACAGGTTAATATATACGTGTATTTTTTTTAATGCGTGTTTACTTTTGCTTGTCTACTTCTGTCCACTGCTTCTGGCTGTTGAAAAAGTAAAAATATTGGGGATATTTTGTTTTTTGCACATGCAGAAGGAGGTTATGAGGAATGAGTGAGTACAGCAGTTCCTGCCTGCAAATCTAGGCACCTGGCCTTTAAAGAAAGGCCAAAAGGTCATGAGCTTAATCTTGCAGGAAGATGTATTTGCCTGCTGATGCTCAAAAACTTTAAACAGAGGGTTTTGCCGGTTTCTGAATGAGCAGAGGCAGCACGTCCTGTGCAGGTTGCTCCAGCTCTGGTGAGCGTCCCCTTGGCACCTCTCGCCTTGGGGGAATGGGTTTCTTACTTGTTGTCAGGGTAAAAGAGAATAGTTCCTGATCTTCTGGCAAGCCTTAAACTAGCTGCCACTTCAGTGAGCCTCTTTGCGCGTTGTACAAATAACGCTGCTGCTTTTGTTTTTTCTTTAGGACCTTACATGTTGGGCACTGGACTTGTGCTTTACCTTCTGTCTAAGGAAATTTATGTAATTAACCACGAGACGGTTGCAGCTGCCTGCATATTGTCAGTCATCATTTATGGCGTCAAAAAGTTTGGGCCGAGTGTAGCAGAGTTTGCTGACAAACTTAACGAGGTAACAAAAGAAACCATAATCTAGCGTTGTAGTGGTTAGTAACTATTTTTAAGTTTTCTGCTTAAATATTTTAAGGAATGCGTCTGTGCTGTCATAAAAGTCAAACATCCTCAGAAAGTCACTTTCACTTGTTTTCATTCTGAGGCGTGTTTGTTGTTTCTTCTTTCAGGAGAAAGTTGCTAAAGCTTTAGCAGTGAAAAACGAGTCTATCCAAGGTCTGCAGACGGCCATCGAGCAGGAGAAGAAGGAGCAGTGGCGGGTCGAAGGCCTCCATTACCTCTTTGATGCCAAGCGGGTACGTGTTTTGGTTCTGCTGATCTGCAGCCTTCGCTGCCCGCTCTGCGTTCCTCTCGTCACCGGAACGGAACAAACCCTTTTCCCTCGGCACGACGCAGGCGGGGCCAGTGCTGGCACCCAGTCTGGTGGGTTTTTTTGCAGAAGGTGTTTTGTTGCCCTTTAGTGTTCTTGCCAAACGTTCGCCCTTTGATTTCATCTTCTGTGTGTAGAACAACATCGCAATGTTGCTGGAGACTAATTATCGAGAAAGGCTGCTGATGGTGTACAATGAAGTGAAGAAGCGGCTGGACTACCAGGTGGCCATGCAGAACCTAAAGCGTCAGAAAGAACAAGATCACATGATTCAGTGGGTGGAGAAAAATGTCGTTCAGAGCATCACACCTCAACAGGTACCGGGGTTTTTAATCTGCTTCGCATTTTAGTCTGTTCAGATACCTGTTGCCCAGTGATTCTGACTTAAGTTCGGAGATGATGGGTCGTCTTTGGGGGAGTTCCAGACGTGGCCGAGTTTGAGTTCCGCCTGCTGGGTTGTTGCTGACGAGCCTGGTTACTCATTACTAGATGCCTGTGTGTGGGTGGTTTCAGCTGGAGTCGTGTGTGGTGGTGGTGGGTGTTGCGGCGTAGCGGGAAGCTCGTGACGAGATGAATGGCTTCACGGGTCAGGCAGCTTGCTTGGAAAATTCTCTGTGTAAGACCACAGCAGCTCAAGATCTGCGGGTGGACTCTAAATGTCCTTTCTTCTAAGGAACAAAGCTGAGGGTAAAAAAAAAAAAAAAAAAAAAGCGTTCCAAGCACTGTGCAGGTGCTTTTTTTAATGCAGGCCTTTGTTGAAATTTGAATCTCCGAGTTCACGAGCAATGGCTGTATTCCTTTTAATCTGTGACCCCTTTTATGGGTCTAAGAAAGAGTATGTAAAATGCATTGGAATGCCTATTTTGCTCATTTGAATGTCTTTCCTATTCTGAACGCTCTTTTCCTTTCTTTTGCAGCAGAAGGAGAGCATTGCCAAGTGCATTACGGACCTGAAGGCGCTATCGAAAACTGCTCAGGCCGCGGTGTGACGGCGGCAGGTGCCGCTGACGTGCGTCTCCTTATGTACTGTTCAAAGCTGTATGAGTCTGACCTGTCATTAAACAAACAAACGAAGCCCTCTGCTGTCTTTCCTTAGCAGTAGCACCAGGGATTCCCTTTCTGTGTTGGAAGTAGTGAGGTTGGTCACGGACCCCCCTGCACTTTGTATATGGGGAGGGGTTTACTTGCAGCCACAGTATGTGCAATCCTCTGTGGTTCCTTGTTTGGCCATGAGCAGTTCCAGACATGAGACACAACTTCACCTCCTACAGAGGTCAGGGTTTGGTTTAGAATTGTGTGGAAATGACCTGTAGATACCTCCTGTAGTCACAAACCTGCTCTGAAATCCGAACGTGCCCCTATTCATCCGCTCCAGTGCGTGGGGGTACTTGGAATGGAAGTCCTCGTTTGAAAAATGGACTGAAGAAGCTGCTTTCATAACTACGCTTCAAACATAGTGATGAAAGTGTCTTCCTCTTGTGTGGAAAAGAGGATGTAGCTGGCAGGAAATGCATCAAAAGCTTCCAGAAAACTTGGCTTCAACTGAATTCACCATTATTAAACTTAAAGCAGTGAAATGGAGAAGTTTTTTAGAGGATTTTTATTGGGAACAAGAAATTGCTGCCTTTTTGTGTGTGTGTAACAAAGGCAATAGTTTTATGAGTATTATGATAACACACAGTATAAGCCTTTTCGTTTCCTTTTTATAGGAAGCGTTTCCCTGGAGGGTTTTGTTTATCTCGGGTGTCCCAGCTGAGCAAAGCACTCGCTGTGTGCAGTCTCACCAGGGTGTGCGTACACACCTCCTAGGTACTGGTTGGTGCTAAATTAGGGAAATGCTTATTTTTAGTGGAGGTAGTAAAATAGTATTTCTGGAGTTTTCAGTATAACAGCTTAGCAAACCAAGGAGTACAATAGTTCAGAAAAAACGTGTTCTTTAGAGGTAGGAGCCTTACTTCAAAGTGAGCTGATTTCAGCTGAAGTGATTGACTTTTTTTAGATGAGCAGTTCCTGAGAAAGCAGGTGTATTTCACAGTTTCCTGTTGTTTAATTAAAAAAGTGAAGTTGCTGAACTTCCACATTTGTGTAACCCCCACGTTTGATTGACGCCGAGCTTTACCTCATGTGACAGACCTTGGTCTCACAAAGCAGCAAGTGCTTAAACTGCCGGGCTCACGCGTGGGGGTTCCTTCCCGCGGGCGCGCAGCAGGTAAGATGGAGCCGTGTTGATCCGAGCTGGATCCCTGATCCTGTCGCTGATCCCGTTGCTGATTGTCGTTCCTTTGATTCCTGCGAACACCGCGTGCTTTTAGATTTGCTGCAGGGAACTGGGGGGTCTTCAGCGTTTGGCTGTTCTGGAGCGTGGGCACCGTCTCCCTGCCACGGAGGGGACGTGGTGTTTCCTGCTGCGCTGGGGCGTGCGCTGTCGTCAGGTTATTCGCGACGTGCAGCTCGTGAGCTGCAGTGAGGAACTGGGGCAGGGATGCTGCAGTAGGCTGGTATTTCTGTGTCTTTAAAGATTCCACGCTCGAATTTGAGAAGAAAGTTATCAGTCCTGCTTCAGTGGAGGAAAAAACCAAGGTAACTTGAGAAAGAAAATTTGAAAGCATTCTTTAAAAGCTGCTTCTGACCATGGAAATGTTCATGAAGTTCACTCGCTTCCAGCTGCTGCAGATCCAATACCGTGGGTGCTTTTTGAGTTGTTAATGTACTCCCTCCTCCTGAAAGAAGGCAGCATGTTCTTCAAAGTCTAGTGAACGTGCACGAGTGTGCGGAGGAACAAGACAGTAGAAAGTGGGATTCGTGCTGAGTAAGTGCTGGGTGTACTGCTGTGGCTTTGCGCCAGTTAAAGTGTCTGAAAATTTAATAAAAAGCCAAGTAAAGGCTGTGGGTTAGAAGAGGGTAAGAGGTTGATTTTGCTCTGGTGCATGTGTACATATATAACTTTATTTTCCCCTCTCCTCCTTGTAGCTTCTCACTGTTTTTTTGGAGAGAATGGGAAGTGCACCCTCAAAACAAATTGCAGGTATTTTTTTCTTTAAGCAGTTTTCTTAGATGCGCTTTTCTTGACTGAGTGCTACTGCCCTGGCTCAGACAGGGCTGCCGGGGCAGCAGCTCAGCAGGGGAGGCGTGTGTTTGGGGAAGAACCGCGCAGCTGCCAAAGGCTGCCGTGGGACAGTAATAATACGAATAACTGTTCCACTTCCAGCCCTCTGACAGGGTGTTACACTTACAGGAACACTTACCTGAGCAGGCACGTGCCTCTCTGTGGTTCTTGTTGCTTGCAGTATTACTGAGGAAATTAATGTGCTTTCAAACCAGTTTTTGACCTTTATTTTTTTTTCTAGTTCCTACACCAGAACCCATTCCCACTACCGCCGCTGTCCATACCACTGCCGTCACTGTACACACCACCGCGTCTCCTTCTGCAGCTGACTTCAAAACTCCAGAAGTCAAATGCTGGACTAATGAGTAAATATTCCACCTTTATTTCCTGACTGAGGGTTCCCTGAGGCTGCAGACTCCTTCTGTAAGGGAGGAGTTACCCGCAGTACATCTTACGTCTTGGGGATTTAAAGGGTTGCTTAGAATTTCCCAGTCTGTGCACTAGATATTTAATTCATGGTGATGCGTAATGTAGATACCTTTTCATTTCATGGGGCTTGGGATAACGATACATTACATTTCAGCAAGTTTGGTGAAGGTGAGCACTACTGATTCTTCAACACCTCTGTTAAAGCGGGGAACTCTGACGCTATTTTCTGTGTGTCACCAGCCGTGAAATACTCTACATGTCGTTGGCCTTAATCTCTGGCATCCTGTCGACTCTGCTGGTTTTTGCAATCATCTACCTTTGCAGAAGTAAGTGGCAGGGGAGAGCAATCACGGCAGCACGGCCGCCCGGAGCCGGGGGCAGAGAGGCGCTCGGTGCGGCACGGCTGGACGAGGGCAGCGCGAAGGCTCCGTGCTCCCCAGGCTGCACCTTCCAGCACTGGGGCTTCAGAGTAACTTGTACACATTGCGTCTCCTTTGAATAATTAATTCATCGATGAACAGGCCATTCCTAGGAATAACTACTTATAGATCATCTCAGGGGCTGTTCTCTAAGAAATACTAACTTCAGCGCTGATGAGTTGTGGTGTTTTTTGTCGGTTGTTCTTTGGTTTGGGGTTTTTTGCACTAACACCAGCTGCACAGTTATTGCCAAATTCAGCTGCCACTTTCTTCCTCGCCACTTCCACCACGGGGGCGGACGGGGACCTGGGCTGCCCTCCTGCTGCTCACGTTGCTGGAAAGGGCTGTGACAGATTTTCCAAGCTGTGTGTCAGCCGCGCGCTCTCTGGTGTCACTGTCACCTCGCTCTGGCGCTGCTGGCTCCAAACACGGTGCTGGCAGCTGAGCCTGGTGTCCCTCTCCTCCCCAGAGTACAAGAGATCCCACCAAAATTCACGAGAGCAAGTTCCCTCCCAGGAAGCAACTCGGGAATCTGCTAATAATGCCCAGGTAACGGTTACGACAGTTATCTAATACCTCTGTGCAGAGGCTTCAGATTTTTGATAGAGTGGCAAATATTAATTGGGGGGGAAGGAGAAAAGAGGTTTGCTCTTGCACGACTGAAGTGTTGCTTGACAACTCTTTTGACTAAGGAGATGTGGGGTTTTTTTTCTGCACCCAAGGTTTCAGCCTGCGTTTACAGCAGAGCAGGGAGTCACTGGGGGTGTACCTGGCCAGTGGGAGGGGAGATATTCCTTCTTTGCTGCCACAGGGCTCAAATGCCAGACGCTTACGTATTTCAGAGGTTCTGAGGCTTAACTAAAGGTTAGGGGAAAGTTTTATAAAGAGCAAACATTTCTGCAGTTTCACTTCATGGTGCTGTTTCTCTGGAAGCCCCTAATGCAGAGCTGACCCAGGATCCTGAGCTGGAGGAACAAGTGGGCTGACCTAGCGCAGCATTTCCTCGTGTCCCGTGTGAAGGGACGGGCTGTGGCTGCTCATGGTGTGTGATGTCGAGGACAAATGAAAAGCAGGAAATTCATGCTGGGATGCAGTGCTCGCACGCTTTCTAATGTTTGTGGGTTTTTTACATCCCCAGAGTGAGGTCGCCTACACCACCCTGGATTTCCACCGGAGGCGGGCGCCATTGACTGTGTGATGATGAAATCGCTGGTGAAATGAAGATGTTTGCACTTTCTGGACATCAAATGCTACTGGAACGTTCTATCAAGGCCTGTAGTCCGCTAAGAAATGCCACCGCTGCTGTATGTAACATCAGCTCGTTTTATAGTTGTGAGGGGACCTGACATCTGTTCCAAAAGACTTGCCAACGGTTGTGAACAAATTGCTTTTAATACTGTGTTTCCTGATTTGTAGAAATCTCACTGTGCCTCTGAAGTTGCCGTTTTTGCGTTAGTTATTGCTCTGAACTACCAAAGAGAACTGAAAAATGGGAATGTTACTATTTGTGTCTGTGCCATTATGTTTCTGTTTTCTGTCACCGACTATAGCGTTTTTTGATTGCCAAGTGCTCTGATTAGTTATTTCCTACTTAACGAAGTTCCAATAATGAACTGTTTGCATGCAAATGTCTGCTTCCTGAGTGGGCCACATAAAAGAAATGCACAGTCACAGCATGACAGTCAAAATTTCTGGTAATGTTCGTTTACATGTTATTACATGTCGTGTTCTGAATATGTTGAGAAAAGTTAAAAATCATAAAGTGGGGAATAAGTTACCACTAGAGACTCAGTCTTAGCAGCCGCAGAGAAGTTTCTCTGCATGTTCCCGTGCCCAGGACTGGGAGGTTTGCTGCCCAGGTAAGTACCTTGATCTCCATCTGTCCAACACTTCTCCTGCAAGGCTGGACTGGGGTGGAGTCTCCTGTGGCCTCAGCCATCTGCGCTTCAGAAGCCTCCTTGTTTCTGGTCACCAGAGCGGTTGGGTTCTTGCAGGTCTTTCTCTTTTCTGAAAATGCAGGTGTTTGTGTGCGTGCTGTTGTAATCGCTTCTCTGGAGGAATCTCTTGGGCAGGGATGTCCAGCTCTGGGAGGGTGGGTGGCAACGGCTGGCGGGTTCAATGGTGCATCGAAGGATGCACGGACAGGAGTGGCCTGTGATATTCCCTGGCATTCTGGCACTGACATCTGGTTGCAGTGTTAAAAGGACGGGTTACAAGAGCTGCGGTGATGATGTTGATGTGAGTGTCGGGCTGCATTTCCCTCAGGCAGCAATGAGTCAGCTCATGTGGGAGAGAAAATCCTTTGCTCTCCCTGAGCGATCTGTGCACGCGGACTGTTGGCCTGTGCCTTCACGCATCTTCACATCCCGTTTAAGCATTATTCAGCCTGTTTGATCTGAGGCTCTGAAGCCACAACTGTTTCCACAAGAACTGCTGGAGGTAAGAACGAGGGACCCAGCCCTGCAGGAACACTTTCCAGGCCGCGTGGCCGCCGGCTGAGGAGCAGCGGCTCCTCCCGGGGATGCCGGAGCCTGGGGCCGGCTCTGGGAGCATCTTGCTGCTTCCCTGAGTGGAGCTGGTGCCTGGGTCCCCTCTCGGGGGGCTGTGGGAGGTCAGTCAGCTCGCTGAGGCTGCTCTGCTTCTCAGCTCGCTTTCGGAGGCAGCACAGCCTCCCCTGCTCCCAGCCCTCTGTTGAGGTTCTTTTCCAGAGCCTTACGCCGTGTTCTCTTGGAGTCTGTGAGGCTGCCTGCGAGGAGTGTGGTGTTGCTCCGTCTTGTCTCAGTTTCTCAGAAACGCACAGGCAGAGTTTGCAGTGTGTCATTCTAATGAATAATTTCCTGCCCTTAGGTGAGACCCGTTTTTCTGCCGAAAGCTATCAGCTCTGTCACCCGATGGTGAAAGATCATGTAGCAAAACTGAGAGGTACTTGTGCAGTTGCTTCCTTTGCTGGCCTTTATTAATAGGGTTGAACTGTGTCACAGGGCAGAGCTTTGACCTGTGACAAGGGTTACATCAGATAATAAACTGAGGTGTCTGATCTCAGCTAAAGGAGCAGATACCGACACTTTCTGAGATAAATTACAGAGCGATGCACTCCCTTTTGTGCTTTTTCTAGACTGCTTTTATTATTTAAAGATGGAGAAAACAGAGTCTGGCTTTAATGATTTATGTTCAGCTTGAGCCAGCATGGAGATTTCACGCAGTCTGCTTTTTTGATTGTTGTGGGAGATGAGCAAGCTAAATTGATACAAACTCCATCCAATATTTATTACCTATTATATTCATGAAAATGTGACAACGCTGACTGTGACTGTTGGCTTTTCTTAGTGGACCCAACCAATCCTTAAATAAAAAAACAACAACACTGGACAAATTTGCTACTAAGTATCTCTTGTGTATTTTGAAAGGATTTCATACAAAGACTTATATGGACACTTGTTTGCATACACCACGGAGCAGAATTCTCTGGGGTACAGTAACGGAGAAGATCATAAATGATCCTGTTGGGCTTCGTGTCAGATGCACGTCAGACTGAGTAAGAGGAGGCTGCCCGTGTCGGGACAGTTTGGCCAAGAGCAGGAGTAGCTGAAACCGAACACACGTTTTACCAGGAGTTTCTTAAGAGGGCAAGGTGGTTCATTCATTCTTTATTTATGACTGTTGGTCTGTTTGCTCTCTAAGCACAGGATCTGGTTTTTTGCACAGGATATAGGTCCTTAAAATTACAAGGTATGCTTTTCGGAACTTCTTTATCTTGCAAGTGTAGACAATGGGGTTCATGGCAGAGTTGGCGTGAGATAACAGGATTCCCAAGTATATCAGATGCGGGGGGATCTTGCACTCAGGACAAAAATAGAAAATGCTGTTTATAATGCACAGGGGCAACCAGGATATTGCAAACAGGAGGAGAACAAGTGCTAGAGATTTGGCTGTCTTGAACTCCTGCCCGTAAAAAGCTCCCGCCCCTCTCACATTGGTGGTACCTTGATGTAGCCTTGTCCGGATGATGTGAAAGACTTTAACATACAGAGCACACATGATGAGCAGAGGGACAAGGATCCACGTGAAGAAGCTGAAATATACCAAGTAATCCATCCTCACCACAGAGGTGAACTGACACGTGAGAGAATCCAGGTTTCTTGGTTCTGCCTTGTTCCAGCCGAACAGGGGGATGAATCCTGCCAGCAGGGACAGAGACCAGCACAACCCCAGTGCCCACCAAACTCTTCGCTCTGTAGTGATTATTTTATATCTGTTGGGGAAGAAAACCCAAATCATGTAAGCAGACATCTTAAAAATAGTTAAGAATGGTTTCAAGACCTCGCATATTCAAATGCTACAGGTTCGTTGTCAGAAGATGGAGCATTAACTTTTTTTGGCAGGAGGGTGAGTGGAACCAAATCTTATTTTGAGTCAAATGGTAACTTTTCATTGTAACGGTTACTTTGCAGCACTTGTGAGAAAAACTGCGATGAACTTTTCCTCTTTATAATCGGGTGTTTTCAGCTATTTTGTTTCTTGTTTCATGATGATCATATTGCTCCTTTTGCCTAGATACTGCTTATCTGCTATTAGCAGTCCCTCTTATCAGCTCCCTTGGGTGTACCTTCCTCTTTATATTTGGGTTTATGCAATTTGTAGGACCAAACTATTCTTTCATTCTTCAATTTTTTTATAGGAAAAAGGCCTCTGAATATGACTTCTCTTATACCTAGGTTATGCTTTGCATTTCTAGCTTACGTACTTCTCTGCATATAAAAAGTAAATGAGTTCTCAAATTAGCCCTTAATAAGTTGGTTACTTCTTTCGTGTTTTCAGCAAACACTGAAAGGAGTTTTATTTAAAAGACTGCCTCAGAAACCCAGAGAAACCCATAGTACTCTCGGCATCTTGCACAACTAATAAAACATCTGAAGAATTCAGCTGTTTGACCACAGACTCATCCTGTGGCCACCTTCTAACCAGCAGCAGCACCAAGCTGCCCGCTCTGCACCAACACTCGGCGCCCGCCTGCGCTGCGGGGAGCGGTTCCTCCTCTAGGCACTTGTCTCAGCTGGGCTTTTGGCCACAGGTAATCTCTCGATCCACGAGCGTGCGATTGGAGTCAATAGTTGTTAGCAAAGGGCTGAGTTAAGGAGGAGCGGGACGAGCAGAGGGGCTGGGAGGGGTCCAAGCTCACCTGGTCAGCAGCTTCACCCGCAGGTACCTGTCGATGGCGATGGCCAGGAGGGAGAGGATGGACGCGTTGGTGAAAACCACCATGAGGCAGCACATAAACAGGCAGGTGTAGAAGTGGACGGTGATGCCCAGGCTCACCACGACAGCCAGGGGTACCACGAGGACCCCCACAGCCAAATCGGCCAGCGCCAGGGAAATGATGAAGTACAGAGTTGTGTTCTGAAATGCCGAGCTCAGCTTCACCACCCAGATGACCAGGATGTTACCCAAAATGGCAATCAAAGCGATCAAGCACTCGGTGCCGATGTAAAACCCTTGCAGGCTGCTCAGCGCCAGGCTGTCGTTGGTCATGATCCGCTGTTGCCTTTCCACAGAGCTGCGAGTACCTGGGCGTCCAGAAAATGTTCCCTGCTCCAGACACGTCTCCTGAAGCTCACAGCATCCCTTCAGCAGCCTGGTATCAGAAAGGTGTCTTGGAAAGCTATTTTGAAGTTTAAAAAAAAATAGAAACCTTCCACAAGCCTGCTTACCAGCAGCCTAAAAGCAAATACTTGAACTGCTTCCTCTTCCAAGCCACAGTTTTAGAAGTGGGAGGACTGTAACCAGAGTGAGTTGTGCAAACCTACCACTTACCCATCAAGATAATTGCTCTGCAGTCACTGTAGGAAATGAGGCAGTTCAGGGAGCGTTGGAAGGGTGTTCTGCTAAGTTCCAGTACTTGATTTAATCCAGGGTACACCAGGCCTGAGGTGGCTGAAAAACGCTCTCAGACCTTTCTCAGTCTGACAAGAACACTTACAGTGTAGGTGACGTTTTCAGTGACACCGACTCCTTCATCTTTTCCACTCAATTTTCTGGAAAAACTGAGGACAGAGAAGTGAAATCAGCCCTGGGAGGAGGCTGAGCCAGAAATAAATGAGACTTCTTTATTCTCTGCTGTCAGAAGAGTTGGACAAATTCCGTTTCCTTGAAATCGATGTGAGCACTTCTTGCTCACTGGCTGGAGGGCGTTTGGGTAGAATTACTGCTGGGAGAAAGGCTTTGTGTTCTCTGTAGTACAGCCTGAGCAGGCTTTAAAGAAGCTCAGTGCCAGAGCAATCCAGCTGTGGTGCTGCTTTGGCTCTTCACCCTGCTTGGCAGGACAGAGCACCCAGCTTTGGAGAAGATCATGTATCTGGGGCTAAAACAGACCAAGTTGCCACCTGCAAGAGGTGACCTCTGTGGTTTGTTCAAAGCGTGATGCTGCCAGCGTGTTGACTCTTCTATGGAAGCACAGGTAAATGTGCGGAAACCTCAAGGAGACAGCAAAAAAGATGTTACAGGGTTTGTTACAGAAGTTCTGAGAAATGGATCTTTGTGGGCAGTTTGCTCTGCTCGTCTTTGCAGAGTGGTGCGTGCAGCAACTGTGGGAATTCAGCAATACCTGGAAATCTTAAGCTACAGAGAATCAGGGAAGGGTAGCTCATAAATGTGTATTTGTCTGAAGTCTGGGTAAGCTGGTGGTCTTTAGGTTTTCCCCTGGGAGACAACCACAGCTCTGCTGATGAAGGTCAAAATGAACCAATATTTCTGATGGAGGGATTTGACCCTGCGTCTGTGGATTCTCAATTAAAAGGAATTGGTGACTGTTGGGAGGTTGCCCTGTAGTTTGAAAATACATTTTAAACATCAGAAGGTGCTAAGGGCCAGCCACACAGAACTGTGCTTAACTTGAATAAGGCCAGCCAGAAATGCTTTGTCTTTTCGGCTCTATTTAAGGAAACTGTTTCTCTAACTGGTGGAGCTACAAAGAAATGCTCTGGCGTGTTGCCACAGAGCAAACCTCTCCATAAATGCTAAGGTGCCATAGGATGTAAGGAGAAGCCGGGCCCTGGCTGCCAGATTTCTGGCTGCACGAAGAGCAGCACAGCAAAATGCAGTCGAGAGCAGCCGAGCCGGGTTGGGCACTTGTCAGGAGGGTGGGTTCTGCACGGTCTGAAAATCCTCCGACCCGGCTCAAGGGACAGCAGCACCTGCTGGTGGTGAGGGAGGAAAACGAGCAGCCTTCGGGCAGGGTTCTGTTTCCACCAGCCGGTAAAGTTTAATAGCTTTAGATTGTCTCAGCTTCTTCGTAGAAGGCAGGTGCTTTCCCATGGGGGCATTCTGTCTGAAAGCTGCCCAGTTCCCACCGTGCGAGGCACAAGGTGCACTTATTTTCTCCAGACATTTCCTCCACCAGGCAGCATCTGTTTCCTGCCCTAAGTGTGACAGAACCAGGTTGCTGGGCTCCTGTGATTCCTCTGTCACCAACGAGGGATGAGGACGCTCCTGTGCCCTTGCCCTGTCTCTGCCCTGCACGGCAGCGGCTTTGCCCCAGCCCAGGGACCCCTGAGGGGCTGTGGGGGCTTCCATGGGCACTTGGCTCGTCTCCCACCGCCCTCCTTCAGCCTCAGCGTCACGAAACACTGGGCTGGAGGTTTTATGTCTTGCAAAGTGATTAAACACTCCCTGCACAGACGAGCCAAATGGGGCCGCAGGGTGGGATCAGGGAGCGTTTTGGCATGGAAACCAGCTCTTCCCTCCCCTCCTCACTGCTTATTTCCAGGCATCCAACCCCAAATCCCGACCAAAGGGCTCCCTCCTTTACTTCTCTACCGAGCTGCTCTCCTGTAAGTGTGTGCTGTGCTCCCGACGAGGGGCTTAGGGAAACATATGGCTGAGCTCAGGCAGCAGAGCTCTGTACATCGGCGCTAACAATCCTCTGCTGATGGCTCCTGATGGCTGCATCCCCCGTGTGTCGTATAAATATCTGCTGCCGTAACGTATTATCCTTCTGCTGGTTGTGGTGGTGTGGCTGGGGGCGCGCCACAGAAC